TAGTGGATACCTGAAGAAACAGGTAATGCCAAACCCTATATACACTTACCTGTGAAGACTGAAGACCACGTATTTACAGTACATCTTAGAAACCTTGGCATGCTGGTTTTTGGGGTTTTTTTCCCTTTCTTACAGAGAACTTCTTCCTTCCAACGTAAAGAAGGCATATCACACAGCCTCTGTTTACCCTTTGTGGCACTTACAAATTAAAATAATGGCCACTTGAAACCCACTGCAATTCCCACACAGTGGACCTGCCATCTGGGATGTCCCCTGCATGACTACCAGAGTGGACACTCCAGGCAAAGCAGATGACTCATGTCCTGGGAAGGCTGGAGAGTGAGGAGGTCATGAGATTTCACTGTGCTACTCAGAATCATGAGCCATTCAGAATGATGAAATATGTTTACTTCTAGAATTTTCCATAGAATATTTTCAGAGCAAAGTTGACTGTAAGAAAATGAAACTACATGAACGGAACCTCAGATGTGGGTGGGGGAGCGAGGTCAGTGCACTGTGTTGAATGAGCACACTAACACTCAGGGAATAAGCTTGAAACAACTTTACAACAAACACAAAAATACAACTTGTCCATTCTAGTAACTATTGCTTTTTTTTTTTTGAAAGATGTATTTATTCTTATTGGAGAGGGAGATTTACAGAGAGAAGCAAAGAGAGAGAGAAAGATCTTCCATCCACTGGTTCACTACCCAAGTGGTTGCAATACCTGGAGCTGCACTGATCCAAAGCCAAGAGCCAGGAGATTCTTCTGGGTCTCCCATGCGGTGCAGGGTCCCAAGGCTTTGGGCCTTCCTTGACTGCTTTCCCAGGACACAAGCAAGAAGCTGGAAGGGAAGTGGAACAGCTGGAACACAAACAAGTGCCCATATGGGATCCCAATGGATGCCAGGCGAGGTGCACCAGATTCATTATTGCCTTTTAATACTCAGTCTCGTGGGTGCAGGAGCCCAAGGACTTGGGCCATCTTCCAGTGTTCCCAGGTGCATCAGCAGGAAGCTGGATTGAAAGTACAGCAACCTGGACTCTAATTGGCAACCATAAGGGATGTCAGCATCGCAGGCGGCAGCTTTACTCCCTATACTACAACACTGGCCTGAGATAAAATTTAAAATGCACACACATTTTAGGAGCTGGTGTTGTGGTTTGGCAAGTGGAACCACTGCTTGAGACATTGGCAGCCCATTCACAGCACTAGGTTGAATCCCACCTACTCTATCTTCAATCTGTGAATATGCCTGAGAAATCAGCACTTGGCCACTGCCACCGTTGTAAGACCCAAGGGAGTTCCTGACTCCTGACTTCAGTCTGGTTTGTTTGTTTGTTTTTTTTTTTTAAATAAAACAAGCACCTAGTACAGCAGCCTGGTGGCTAAAGTCCTTGACTTGAATCTACCAGGCTCCCATATAGGTGCTAGTTTGTGTCCCCGCTGCTCCACTTCCCATTCAGCTCCCTGCTTGTGGCCTTGGAAAGCAGTAGAGGATGGTCCAAAGTCTTGGGATGCTGCGCCCACATGGGAGACCCAGAAGAGGCTCCTGGCTCCTGGCTTTGGATCAGCATTAGCTCTACCATTGTGGCCACCTGGGAAGTGAACCAGAGGATGGAAGAGCTTTCTATCTCTCCTTCTTTCTGTAAATCTGCCTTTCCAATAAAAATAAATAAACCTTTAAATAAGTTAAGAAATTAAAAACGGGGCCAATGCACGGTGGCCTAGTGGCTAAAGTCGTCGCCTTGCATGCCGCCGAGCTCCCAGATGGGTACCTGTTCTAATCCCAGCAGCTCTACTTCCCATCTAGCTCCCTGCTTGTGGCCTTAGAAAGCAGCAGAGGATAGCTCAAAGTCTCGGGACCCTGCACCTGCATGGAAGATCCAGAAGGGGCTCCAGACTCCTGATGGGATGGGCTTAGCTCCAGCCTTGTGGCTACTTGGGGAGTGAATCAGCAGATGGAAGATCTTCCTCTCTATATCTGACTTTCCAATAAAAATAAAATAAATCTTAAAAAACACAAGAAACAAAAAACAACAGAGCTTATCTTGGCTGCTCCACTTCTCTCAGCTCCCTGTTGGTGGCCTGGAAAAGTAGAATAGGATGACCTAAGGTCTTGGGACCCTGCACCTGTGGGGAAGACCCAGAATTAGCTCCTGGCTCCTGGTTTCCAATCAGCACAGCTTCAGCTGTTGTGGCCACTGGGGAGTGAACCAGTAGAGGAAGACCTTTCTGTCTCTCCTCTCTGTAAATCAGATCTGCCATTGCAATAAAAATAAATCTAAAGAAAAGCAAATTTCATTATGAAACATTTCAAACACAAAGCAGAATAAAACAGACTCCCTCATCCATTATCTAATTTTTTTTAAAAAAGATTTATTTATATTTATTGGAAAGTCAGATCTACAGAGAGGAGGGGAGACAGAAAGATCTTCTGTCCGATGATTCACTCCCCAAGTGACCACAACGGCCAGAGCTGAGCCATCTGAAGCCAGGAGCCAGAACCTCCTCTGGGTCCCCCATGCAGGTGCAGGGTCCCAAGGCTTTGGGCCATCCTCGACTGCCTTCCCAGGCTGCAAGCAGGGAGCTGGATGGGAAGTGGAGCTGCTGGTGCTGGAGTCCAGCTCCAGCTGAGTTCAGAACTTGCAAACGGTGCGTGGATGAAGCGCAAAGAGGAAAGAAAGACAGACCAATAGGATTTCATGATCATAATGGATCATGCAGGAAAGCTGTCCGCTTTATTTATACAAAATCAGTCAAACTCTGGCTCAGACTCTTTAAGTCATGGTCAAGTGGGTGTTTCTAAAGATAACTGCCATTTGTTTCACCTTAGACCAGGATGTTATTCATCCTGGCTCCGTGGTTAGGAAAAAGTTCTCAATAGATGGTGCATATCAGTCAGTAACACACTCTTACCACAATCCTCATTCTACAGCTTAGTCTTGAGTTAATCAAGGAGGGGAGGACTTCACAGAAGGAGGGACCTAAAGAACAAAGAAAGAGGGAAAGAATAGATTCCCACTATACCTGGAGACAGAACACCCTTGAGTAATATACAGTCAATGGGGGAGGGAAAGCCCTAAGCCCAGGTTCCCACTACGCCTGGGGACAGCAATAATAAAAGGCCCATTGGCTAAAACAGTATCAGCAACATCAACTTCCAAGCTCACAGCGGTAGTAAACATTAACTCCACAGAGGCAGACAATGCCTAAATAGATTATAGAATTCTCAGCGGGGTTGTCCGGTGTCCATGCAAAGGGAGGCGGAGCTGCATTCAGGTGGTCGTAGGGACAATCGCCGGGCACTGCCACACAGTGGGAAGTTCCTTGCGGCCCTGCCTGCAATGGGAACAATACTCTTCACACCTTCCTGTCTTCCCCACCCATCACACGGACCCCAGCATGCCGGGATTAGAACCGGCGCCCACATGGGATCCTGGCACATTCAAGTTGAGGATTTTAGCCGCTGGGCCACCATGCTGGGCCCCATTCATTTTCTAATTTTAAGAGTTATAATTTCCCATGTATTTTCCCCCTTGGATTACATTAAAGCCAACCTCATGTTTGTCATTTTACAGTACAGAAAATTCAGCATGTCCAATGTTCCATTATCATAACTGATGAAAGTAGCGATTTCTGAACATTACCGTATTCCCAGGCCTTATTCACATTCTTCTCATTCGTCTCAAAAAAGTTTGCCTTTTGAATTGAAACCATGAAGTACATATTTGACCTCGTACTTTTAGAGGCTCGTAGCCCCTGACGCTCCAGTCCATGCCTGTTGTCATTTCAAACTGAATCTTGCGGCTGAAATTAGGCTCTTTGTTCCATGGAAACTCGTGTTTTTTCTGGAATTCTCTATTTCTGGCATACCTTGGGTTAGATCTAAGGCCTGCATTGGATTTCAGAGCAACTGGAGGATCAGGAATCCCTGAGGGAGGGGGGTGTCCGTGAATCTCCGAGATTCCCGCCATAGGATCGCAATCCTGAGGTAGTTCCCAGGGATTTGATCCGAGGCCACACTGCTAGCACCTGGGCCGGCTCATCAACAAGGGGCCTGTCAGCTGTGTGCGGCTCGCTCTGTAACGATCCCTGCCAATAGCTCGACTCTGGCCCCTGGGGTGGCAATCTTTGCAGCCGCAAGGAACTGAGTTTCCAGAGACTAGGCAGTTGAAATTCATGTAGGCTTTTACATCACAATGCATGCTGCAGGCAAAGAGAGAGAGGGAAAGCTTCTTTTAAAAACTGCTTAAGAATGCAATTCAAAAAGCTATTTCTGTCAACAGTAGAAGTGCAGGGAAGGCTGCCTTGAAGGCGTAGAAAGGTTGGAGATAAGCTTGTGCCACTTTCCACCAGCTCCCAATTAATGTGCCTGAGAAACAAGGAGCAAGTGGGGTGCTCGGGGGGCCTGCATGCACGCTGGACACAGCACTGGGGGCGCCATTTCATGAGTGAACACACGGATGTTAGATTTCTTTTCCCTCTTCCAAATATTTACAAAAAGACGAATGGGGAACCAAGTATTTTGAAATAATAATAATACGGACACAGCTGGCTTTGCGGGGAGGGCGCGAGGAGAGCCGTGGCTTTTCATTGTTATCCCACCTGTGCGTTGTGTGGATTCGTCGCACCACACATCTCCAGACACAAATGTTGGAAACACTTCCAGTCGTTTCTGTTGCCTCACGTCAGAAGCCCGTAGGACACTATTTAAACAGATTAAGGCCAAGCAACGCCGGCAGTAACTCGCGGAGGACGCGGCGACCGACGCGCGCCTGGAGAAGCGGCGAGGGCAGGTCCCTCAGCCCGAGCCTCAAGGCGCCCGGCCCGGGAAGCGCGCTCCGCGCACGCGCACGCGCGCCCAAGCCGCGCGGACACAAAGCCGCGCCGGGGGGCGGGACTTCGCGACGTCACAGAGCCGCCCGTCCCGCCCCGCCCCTGACGTCGCTCCCTGGCGGGGGGAAAACCAGGAGGTTCCGGGCGGTGCGGGCGCCATTTTGCCGAAGCCTGTGACCGAGCGGGAGCGGAGCGGAGCGGCCGTTGTTGCCGACTCTTTTCTCCTCCTCCTCCCCGCGGTCCCAGTCAGCGGGGTTCATTTGGCCGTCGGCCCTCGAGCCGAGACTTTCTCTCTTTAGTTCTGAGGAGAACGCCTGGTCGACATGAGTGATGTTGAGGAGAACAACTTCGAGGGCAGAGTGAGTACAAAGCCGCGGGAGCCGTCTTCGGCGGCGGCCCCGACGCTTCGGGGTTTCTCACGGGGACGAGCGCGGGCGGGCGGGCGGGCGGGAGGGGAGGTGGGAACGACCTCCGGAGCCATCGCCAGTCGCTTTCCCTCCCCTGATCCTCGTCATTCCCAAGATGGCTTCTGGGGCTCCACAGCTTCTCGGGCACGGCGGATGGCGCTGCCTCCCCCGCTCTCCCTCTGCTCTCTCCCCTCTGTCCGTAACAAGGAGTTGGGTTCCCGCAGTCGCTTTGGGGGTGGGGGGGGCGGGAAGGTTTCCGTGCCCCGGCCCGAGCGTGGTTGGTGAGGTGAGGTGGCAGCCGGGCGGCCGGGGGTCTGCCCGACGGGGGCGCGGGAGGCGCTAGGTGTTTGGGGGTTCTCCACTGTGGTGAGCGGCCGCGTCTCTATCGGAACCGGCGGCGTGACGCCTCTAGAAAGGCGGAAAAAAGGTGGGGCGCACCTAAAGGAGCTAGTCCACGACCGACCCCATAAAGCGTCCTTAGGACGGGGGCGGGGGGAGAGCTGTGCGAGGGATCCTTGTCCCTCTCCGCACTACGCAGCGAACGTGGAAATGCTATATAAATGTTATATGTAATACGTGATATGTCGGTTTCCTTGAGGTTGGGTTTTTTTTTCTCCCCGCCCCCCCCCTTTTGCTTTCTATCAACTTCTAATGCCTTCCCTCGTGTGACCTTTATTTTTTAAGTTGACCACTCCTTTGCAGGTTTTTACGATTTTTTTTTTAATTCATCTCCCGTTTTAAGTGAATGTTACGTAACTGAACATATTTCATGGCTCGGTATTTAAAAAGAAATGGTCAGTCCGTTTATAGCTGTTTTTCACCCGTTTATAGCTGTTCTTAGAAAGGATCCCCTGATAAAATGATGAGTTCGGTCTTATTTCTCTGCCCCAGCAGAGTGCCCTCCGAGAAAGCTTTTGGTTGAGGGCGGGGGCGGCCGAAAGTAAGCCTGGTAAAGAATACATCATCCCCGCTTCAGTGTCCTAGAACCTTTACCAGTGTTTGAAATGTCCAGACTTTACCCAGTAGTGAAAAATAATGGAAGTGATTTAGTGAGAAAATCTGGAAACAAAAGCGCGGGCCACGGCTGTGGGGTGGAGATGGGCTTCCAGGAGACCACCCTGGAGAGGGAGGTGTGTCCTTTCTGGAAGTCTTCCCCGACTTCACAGGTTACACGTGGAATCCCCTGGAAGGTCAGGTCGGGCTTTTCAGCCTCAGATACAGAGCAGTAGGTTAGAGGCCATGCTATTTTTAATTCCGTAAGATTGGATTTTTAGAATTAGATTCTGAGCGTGGATGCTAGGCTTGTTGAACCTATTGATTGATTGGGGGGTAACATGGACAGTATTGACAAAACAAGTCTTTGTGCAGTATAAGCTGCTGCTTGTTTTGGGAAATGGGGGCAGTGCTACAGGAAGAACTTCCGTCCATCCTTCCTTATTCTTTCATTACTGCCTGGGGTGGGGGTTGTTTGTGTTGGTTTGTGGGAAAGTGAGGAAAGGCACTGGGATGTTGTTTAACCATTTAGTAGAAAAAAAAAATCTTCACTACCCCCAAGTCTGTTTCTACTCCAGGAAATACTTTTCACAGGTGTTTTAGTGTAAATTTGCCAAATCCTTCCAGACTCACCTGTCTTTTTTTTTTAATCTTTCAAAGTTAAGGTAATTGTCTTTATTTGTAGTTAAAGAAATATAAAAATTCCTGGGAAGCTCTGCAAAATTTGTTTCATAAAGCAAATTAGTACAGGGTAGTGCTTTTGATTTTTAAACTAAAGTGACTTCACTTGCTAACCATAAGCCAGCGGGTGTTTCTTATAAACAGCTAATGTGTTCTCATTCTAAAAGATCTCTAAATGCAACAAGCATAGTTGACAAGACTTGAGATGGTACGTGTTGAAATGCTACAATATTGACGGTCAGGTTCAGGCTATATCCTAGCAATGGGTTTATTAAGCGTTAACTACAGTATAAATAGCATATAATGGCCCCATTTCAGTAAAAGGGTATTTTGAATCAGAAGATCAGTTGTTAGAAGCTACCAGGGTTTAAGAAACAAAACTGATACTAGTATTGCCTTAGAACGTACTGCCTCAAATTTTCAATGCACCTTAGAAATTAAGAACCTGTGGCCTAATTTGAGGTGGCAGAAGGACTTTTCAAATCTGGACAAAAGAGCATGGTTAAGTGGTGAGAGTAATATAACAGTCAGAAAATGGAGCTAATCCATTTTGTGAACTATAGGAATAGAAAGCTGTACCTACATTTTATGATTGGGGAAAGGAATGTTGGTTGTGTGGGTGTGACAGTGTGAAGGTTGTCTGGAATCCTGGGTAGATTCGTAAAATAGGCGATCAGTAAAGCAGGGTTTTAGATTATGTATTTAGGAATTTTAGCTTCATCTGAGTTCTTAATTCTGGGTGGGCAATAATGAAGAATATTGACAAAGACCAAAAATACTGCCATAGAAGGAAACCCTTAAAATACTTAAGGAAGGAAAATCTGGACTCAATGGGACTCTGGTAGATACAAACAATGAGAAACAATTTAAAAAGGATTCAGGGGAGTAGGAGAGTAATCGTGCCTTAAAGTAGGTGCCTTAAAGCAAATTGCTTGGGACGTGTACATCATGTTAATGTGTTTTGGAATTGGAAAGGGGTTAGCACTTGTGCTATGGCTTTGTCCTTCCATAAAGAGTTATAAGCTTCATACACCTTCAGCTAAAATAAAGATTTGATCTCAAAAGAGTAACTTATGGAATTTGGGGAAACGGAAGTTAAATTTGTCTTCATTTACCTTATTCCCCTTTAATCCATACTTTTCTAAGTTTTATTTTTATTGGAAGGTTAGATTTATAGAGGAGAGACAAATTTTCCACCTGAGTGGCTGCAATACCCAAAAAATAACCTAATCTGAAGCCAGGAGCCAGGACCACCTTATGGGTCTCCTTTATGGGTGCAGGGGCCCAGGATTTACAACTGTCCCGTGTTGCTTTCCCAGGCATAAGCAGGGAGCTGGATGGGAAGTGCAGTAGCCAGGACATGAACCAGTGCCAAGCACATGCAGAGCAAGGAGTTAACCACTAGGTACTGCACCAGGCCCCAACTCAGATTTTTTTTTTTAACTTGCAAAAAAACATAGAAGACTGTATCACTCTGGTACAGTGGTCCAGTGTTTATAATAGAGGTAAATGATTATGTAGAGATCCATCTTTTTTTTTTTTTTTTTTAAAGATTTATTTTTATTATTTTTTCATTGGAAAGGCAGATATACAGAGAGGAGAGACAGAGAGGAAGATCTTCCGTCCGATGATTCACTCCCCAAGTGAGCGCAACGGGCCAATACTATGCCGATCCGAAGCCAGGAGCCTCTTCTGGGTCTCCCACGTGGGTGCAGGTTCCCAAAGCTTTGGGCTGTCCTCGACTGCTTTTCCCAGGCCACAGGCAGGGAGCCGGAAGGGAAGCGGGGCTGCCGGGACTAGAACCGGCGCCCATATGGGATCCCGGGCGTGCAAGGCGAGGACCTTAACCACTTGCGCCACCGCGCCGGGCCCCATCTTTTTTTTTTTTTAAGATTTATTTTTATTATGTTTTTATTGGAAAAGCGGATATACAGAGAGGAAGATCTTCCGTCCGATGACTCACTCCCCAAGTGAGTGCAACGGCCGATACTATGCTGATCCGAAGCCAGGAGCCTCTTCTGGGTCTCCCACGCAGGTGCAGGGTCCCAAAGCTTTGGGCCGTCCTCTACTGCTTTCCCGGGCTACAGGCAGGGAGCTGGATGGGAAGCGGGGACGCCGGGACCAGAACTGGCGCCTATATGGGATCCCAGGCGTGCAAGGCGAGGACCTTAACTGGGTCCTCTGCGCCGGGCGCTGTAGAGATCCATCTTAACATTCCAGTTGTTTAAAATTCAGATATTGTACAGTTGAACAAAGGTAATGCTTATTTCTGCCTCCTTTTTGGGACTTGTTCTTTTTGAGATTGCTAGAATTACCCTTGTTCATATGAGATGATTGGTGAAAGTGGACAGTGGAGCATTAATTTCTGTGTACTAATTGGAAATTGAGATTTATTTTTATTGGAAAGGCAGATGTACAGAGAAGAGGAGAAGGATCTTTTATCCACTGGTTCACTCCCCTGTTGGCCACAAGCTGAGCTGATCTGAAGCCAGGAGATTTTTTCCAGGTCTCCCACATGGATATAGGGTCCTAAGGCTTTTTTGGACCGTCCTTGACTGCTTTCCCAGAGCACAAGCAGGGAGTAAGCTTAATGAAATTTGTTGATACTTAAATTTTTATGTTGGAGAGTCTTGCACTGAAATGTCCTAGTTTGTTCATTGTGGATAAAAATTTTGGAAAGGAGAGATACGAAGTAATGATCTCAATATAGTACATAACTAATTTTACTGGTCTGCCATAAATGCTTGTACTTTATAACAAAGAACTGGCTGTGCAAAAGCATGTGACAGTATGCTTGGGCATCAACTCATCCCTGAGATCCTTGTAAAAAGTATCCACTCAAGTACTGAAAGAATGCTGATGGTATGTCCATATGGCTTAACCAGCCTCGCGGGACCGAAGTGGTAGGGATCAGATGAGGAAAACTTGGGTAGACACTAGGAAAGTTGAGAGAATAATGAAATGTGAACCCTTACCATACTGCACCTGTACGTAGTTATTTATAATCTGATTTATCTGCCCAGTTTTCTATAACAGATGCAGGTGAATAGATCTGGTTTGGGATGGAGTACATTATGGGTTTCCCTTGAAACTGGATCCTTGTCTTGCATAACATTCATAAATACTCTATGACATCAGAAGAACATTAAGTCACTTGTGACACGTTCTTGATGATTTGTTTTCATTGGTGCATCGTTGTTTACAGGCTTTTTAGGTATGACTAAACCTTTTTTCTTTTCTTTCTTTTTTTTTTTTTTTTTTTTTCCTTTCTCTCTTTC